CTAAATAAAGACATCCTGCTAAGTAGTTGGGTTATTTTACAAATGCTACAATTTTAAGCCGATGAATATTACTCGAATGATCTATGAATGCTAGTGACTACATTAGAAAGAGGGATTGTATACTCCCAGATCACTTTGATGACCTTTTAATCGCATAGTTATTTAGCGAATATATAATTAAAGTGAATACTGGCGGCAAGATCCAATTCTTGTTCGGGACGGAATAATACTGTGGAAATCTTTAGTCGTGTGGACTAAGAAGTACAGAAGCCGGTCTGAGGCAGAAATTCACAGGATCATCTGCTGAGGTTTAATCTGCAATCCGTCTTTAATAACAAGAAAATGATAAGAAAAGAGTGAAAGCCACTGCCTTCTCTAAAGGATTTCATGACACTAAACATCAGCCTACTCGAAAGTATGGAGTCAGGCTTGTATGGCTTGTCGTCGCCACTGTTTAGTTCTGTCAGGCCCAAAGACTTGTGTTGGCCAACTGCGATCAGCGAAGTAGGGATTAGATGATTAAGATCAGCAACAAGAGCGATGAGAGCAGATACATCCAGATTAACGCGTGGTGAGAAGTCCAGTCTAACAAAGAAGGAACAAATAAAGAAATTAAATGAAAGGATAAAGAAGAAGCTCAATTTAATCAAAATTCTTTAAGAGTATTTAAATTTATGGGTCAGAAAACAAGATGGCGAGTATTTTTCCTTAATAAAAGCCTAGGAAGAGCAATTAACCCCGCTCTTGTGCAGTGTGGATAAGACGACAAATGGATGATTAAATTCTTTAAATGTTCCCCAGCGAACGGTAAATCTTCAAATGATCAGTAAAAAACTATATGAAATAACTTGCCTTTAACTTGTAGAAAAACTGGATTTCGAACAATCTCTTAATAGATTGTTATCTTTGTACCTTTAATTTCGCGTTAAAAGGCGAGTGGAAAGGATTCGTAAGTAGGCCTCATCGGAGGTTGAAGGGGGATTGCCTTGGAGCTCACTGTAGATATATGTCAATATAGCCTTGGCACCCGACAAACCTGATGAATCCTTGCTGAACTTTTGTTCGTCCTGTGACAGAAATTGTTAGAGCAGAATATCATGATTTAGGATTATTCATCAAAACACTAAGACAAGAAAGATGGCCGGCTACAGACC